GCGCCTTATCGCTACGTCCGGCCGTGTGCAACACCAACTCCGAGTGGTGAGCGGTTGGCGGCTTCCTAGACTTTCCTCCCTTACGAGGGCGCTCCCCATGTTTTGAGGCCGGTTGAAATTTGTCCCCAGTCACGTTTAAACATGCAGCAGCTGAAGAAGTTGCGCCGGTATCCATCCGTTTTAAGCACCCGTCAAGTACATAGTTCATCAACCGTGTCTTCCAGCTCACTGCAATGCGTCTCGACACGCCAGCATGGCACCCTTGCGCGACTGCGTTTGTGGCTGATTGGGTGGTTCTTGTTGAAGCTCGGTACCTACGTCGTATTAGTCGCTTTTTAAAACACATTGGTTCTTAGCCATCACAATCTCTGCGGCAGACGAGGGTGTCGAGGAAAACTAGCTGGTTGGAATGGGACAGCCCCATACTGCGCTCTTAAGTGCTATTGTCGGCAGACAGCCATACAGCGAACAGGGAGCAACCGCAGAGGCTAAGTCACGAGGGAGAGACGCGGAGTTAGATTTTACAGTAGCCACCCGCTACCAACCGAAAGAACTTGTGTGAGGGCCCTACACCAGAAAACGAACATGCGCCCGACACTTGCAAAAAGAACCGTCGCCTGCGTAATAAGTTCAAGTAGAGTGATCTAACCTGAGCGTTCAACTTCTGCGACCTCACTGGAAGAGATTAGCCGATAGGGGCAGCGAAGCAGAATCCAATGTGTGAAAGGCCTCCAAGGCCAGAGCGTTTGGTCCGCAGCGTGCAACTCGGCGTCGCGCACCTTTCGGTGGCAACAATGCGGACGAGGGGTTGACTAAACCTCGATGAGCAGTCGGGTGTTACCCTCCGAATTTCATGCGCTGACGTTGCAGTTGCGCAAGTCAAACAAGGCGACGCCTGCAGGCCAGATTGCGACAGTTCGACAGGGCTATTAGTTTTAGAAATCACGCCGACCGACGGCACAATGAGCTGAAAGACAGCGCCATAAAGGCTCAGTGTGTCGGAATCAGACTGTAGCAGCCGCTCCAGTCCCCCTTTTCTCCGGGTCCCTTTTGTCGGTCGATGGCCGCGACAAGCGTTGACAGACCGCTGACACACGACCACCCACACCGGCTAGAACTAGGGCTCCTCCTCTCCAGCCGCAGTGACTCCCGGCTGCCCTCACAAACTAGTATCACCTCACACGCGTCGAACGATCTGGCTTGATTCCCGTGAGGCCTTGTGGGTATGCGCCCTCCATTCCTCCCCTAATTTTTCCAATCACACGACCAACACTCAGACAGTCACCCCCTCCTGCTGACTTACACTCACACCCGCGTAAACAACACACCGCGACTGACGCTCTCCATGAACGGACGCTTACCTCTGTCGCAAGCAAACAGCCAACTTACGGCAACCTGCCCTGTGTACAGAATAAACTATTCCTCACAGTTCCCTGACTGCTGACATTAGACGAAACGAACTTATTGTGCGTGGTTTAAGTTGATCTCACATCCTTGAACGCCACAAGATCGTAAATTGCTTAACTGACGCGCAAAACACGCTTCATCCGGTAAAACGCCACGAAGAGAGCGACCCTTCCTTTTCGTTATTAAATGCCATGAAGTTACCCAACCGTCCTTGGCAGCATAAGGCGCTTTAAAAAGGTGAATTGCCCTGTCTTACTGCATAGCCCAAAAGTTTATTTTGCTAAACAGTACCCGAACCCTCCTTCGGATTAGCTGGGAGGCAATAATACTCTACGTCAGAGTTGAGTCCCCTTCAGTGCAACTAACTCGGGGTACTGGAACGGAGGCAACACACACTCGTGGGCACATCTCCAGGCTTCATATCCTCCTCACCGTACTAGGATATCTATATTGTTCTGGAAACGCCGCTTCACAGACCGAAATGGAGGATGAACATGGCTGGTTTGTCTGGCTTGGGCCTCCATGTTGCAGCCACCAATGGCGGTCGCGTGGCAAGCAACGGTGCCGAGCAAGACAAGGGAGACTGCAGTAGTCGCTCCTGGCCTATCGGAGGCCAGTAGGCCCTACACCAACCCAAGGAAAGGAGAGCACAGAGCTCGGACCCGGACTCATTAAGTCTCAGGTAGGAAGCACTGTCACTTCTCGAGAAAACTCTAAATTGGAGATCCAGGACAAATGATGTGGGCGCATCATGTTCCAGAATCAATTCAGTGTTGCGCCACGACTGGGACAGTACTGCCGGCCGAAAGTGGCATAAACACAGTCTGGTGAAGATAGCTATCATCGACTATAATAGGCGAACCACATGACCCGGGTGACCACACCAGACGACAGTCAAGATACCAAATGTTTGGGAAATAACAAAACTTGTATCGAAGACTGTGAAAAAGTATGACAACGTAAGAATTAGAAGACTGGAAGTAGACATGGAGGTGGGAAGCGCAGCACACGAGTTAAACAAGGATTCGCAAGCGAGGGTCTGAGAAGTTATCTTTGCAGCGTATACCAGACTGCAAACATCAGGAGTTGGTGGTAGCTTTTCACCAGCTCCGTCATAAGGACGTCTCCTTCAGGCGGGCTCGACTAGCAAAACTTGTGGAGAGCGTGCTGGCTTCTTTGACGTCGACGGATTAGTTGGATGATAGAAGGTGTTTGATGTCCGGCTCGATGGACTAAGAGAAAGAGTGAGAAAGCGGTAGAACAATATAGACCTCGGAAAACTTGGTGGGATGTAAGCGATCTGGAGACCTTAGATGCAGAAGATCAAAAATAAAATGTCGGTGAAGCACTGGAAAGCTATGCTAACGAAACATGCCCCGGGCACGCCCGCATGGTGAAATGTAGTGAGGAAGGACTTCTATCCCGAAAAAGATACCGGGGGACAGAGGCTTAACGGAGCCCGGTATTCGAATCTATCCGAACAATTCTTAAAAACGTAAGTATTTCTCAGCTGAAAAGTCAACTTCACTGCATTGCCGTTTATCTTCATCGTTCGTTTCTTACCGGGATTCAAAAGTTTTACGTAGCAGACTGATCTAAATGGTTACTACAGCACGAGAACGATGACAGGAGGGAAAAATAAACGGCCGGGTGAGCGCTCAAACCAGGTTTATCATTTGTCATGGGACGGAGTAAAAGCACAGGACCGTAGGATTCAGTTCGCATGGAAAACCACGGTCGAAGAGGGGTTTCCGTCAACTAACACGGAAAACTTTACCTACACAACATTCGAGAACGGGTGTATACCTCAGTGAAGATGGAAGGATCTTGACAGGCCAATAAGCTTATTCGCAGTCGAATTGTTTCAAACAATCCAAGCATTGCCTCTCAGACATCCGGGGCTACAGAATACATTTGTCATGCCTATGTGCAGTCATCATAGTCACATTCTCAGCTCAACGTCGTACTTGCAACAAGTAGGTTATCTAAACGCAACGAAGTCTTAGTCCCCAACCAAAAAAATTAAGCCAACTCTACTTCGCCCTATGCTAAGCTTGACAGCACACGTCTAGCTAAGTTAATCTGGTCCGGAATCGCATTCCTCCACTGCAGAACCTAAACGCTCATATAATAACTAGTGCTTTTAAAAACAAAGTTCAGACAGAACGTACCACGGGGTCGGTTTGCGGGGAGTAACGCTTGTATGGAGTACCATCACGGGCGATGAGGAACTTGGTGAAGTTCCACTTAATTGAACTAAAAAAGAGAAGATTTCGTAAGCGTTAATCTGCATGTCCTAAAGAACAGGAAAAACAGCCGACACGTAGACCAAACTCTGCTTGCCAATTTCTTCATCGACTGTCCCCAAACGACCTGTCTAGTCTACTCTTGGCTTACTACAACTGCTGTCTGTCGAGCGGAACCACTACCAGACTCAAGCAAAACTGCAAGGCTAGTCTCGAAAATGACAACGACTACGAGGTTTTATTCACAAATAATCAGTCTAATAGCCGTGGAAGTGCCGCATCAGACTCCCAGAACAGGGTAAGCTGATAGATGGGGCAGAGGATAAGGACAGCGCCCGTCTACCAGGGACACCAGGGGATCTGAAAATATTTCACACGCACCGAAATAATCAGAGGGTTATCATGAGTGAGAATCCATGACATAGATATAAAGGGCATTGCTCTCACTAATATCAACTGCGGCCTGTGCCCTGGCCCGCCGGACCAAGACGAGTTAGCTTAAAGCGATGCAGGAACGATAGTGAGTATAAAAGATGTTTTGCATCACGATATTGTTTGAGCTGCATTTAACAAACGGAGGTATGTGTTGGATGAAAGTTGGGGTTACGCACTACTTGTTGCGCCATTTGTCGTACGAACTTTACAGAGCGTTGGTTGTGACCTACTGGATCTTGCATCTGTTTACCCAAGTTTCCTATCATGCAAGGGAACTGGCAAAATACGTGTCGCAAGTTCCGGGTCTAACCACCAAATATATCGAGTGTCAGCACAAGAGACAATGTAAGCGACACAGCAATGTGTTTGCCTATCCCTGAATTAACTTAACAGTTGGAAGCGAGATGACAAAACAAAGTTCGTTTGTCCTTCGTGTGGCAGAGCACCTTGTAGTCCGAATAGTGGCCAGGTACGCACTCCAAAGCAATTAACAGCCCTAAACGGGGTTCCATTATCTGAAATTCCCTACGGCCCGATCGCACGTTGCAGTTGTGCAATACAAATCGGTTTATATATATGTTCTGCATATACAATCCGTCATACAGTTGACTAACTGTCAATAGATGCAACGTGCCTGTGGAAGAATGAGTTGAATCCGCTGAAAACTTCCCCAATTGCGACTTTTTGTACCATCGGGTTTTTATAAAATAAGATACTCGAGACGCACTTACTTAATTAGCGTGCCGGGGAGAGCGTTTTGCAGATATTTGAAGAGCGGAAGAGCGTTAGAGCCGTTGACGTCACACTTGCTGAAAAATTCGAAGGTAGCGTGATATTTATTGAGGGCATTCTCTTTGATTTCGGCGTTGGTACCAGGTTCCTGAGAGGGTCAGTATTGCCAGATGACAACGGTTACCTGGTGACCGAACTGATTGCATGGAAAAGCTAAAATATGGAGACCCTGGCCAGCGTAAGAGGTATACAATTCTTGCAGCTGGGCGTAGTTTTTGTCGGTTAAACCTCATTTGGTAGCAACATTCACGACCAAGCACACTTTGCCTCTTGATTGTTGGGAAATAAGTTTAAAAAAGAGGATTACTTGTATCGTTCCATAGATACCATCTCACCATCGATATTCTCTGCACTGAAAGTGTAGAATTCGGCGGAATTCGCAGCCTAAAATGTTCAGGAGTCAGGAGGGACGAAGACATATGTAGTGACGCAATGACAGTCGAGGGGAGGAAGGGCATATATGCCCTACTACAGAACTAATCCAAGAATATTAGCAGATCCCTTGGAAGAAAAAAATTATATCCCTTATTATGCAAACAGGCAAACAACTAGGTCAGCCGTCGTCTTTGGCACGGCGTTGTGGTTACTGCATTCAAGATATTAGCAGAGTACATAAAAGCCTGATTGGCACAGGACGTTTGGATGCTTTGGTACCATCACAATCGTCCAGAGCTGACCCCTACGACTATCCTGTGACCACTTTTGAGACTAGCTAAGCAGCCACAATTCGCCCAGCAGTCCCTTCGCGTGCCTGGCGTCAGTGGCGGGAATGCGGTAGTAGAACGGAGTCACTCCTGTACGTTATGCCCAGTCACTCAATCTGATTGCTGGCTGCACATAAGCTCGCAGATCTGAGCCGCTAGTGCAGGATCACACAGAAGCTAGCATGCACTCCGAACGCAGTGTCATGACTTGATGCATCAGCATACGCATACCCATATACGGGACACGTGTCTGCCCGTTTTAAGAATTAGGACACGCGTCAAGAGAATATCAAGCGGTCCTATGGAACACCAATGATTAAACACTGTTTTCCACATGTAAAAAGCATATGCTTTGAAGCAATCCATCTAATTGAATGATAATGGGGGACGACAATCAACAAAATCAAGTCGAAACATGGAGCACCAGAATGCTGACGGATGCAAAGACTATGTTCGAAAGATAGAACATCCAACAGGGCTTAAAGTGAACGAGGAGCAATCAAACCAACCATAGGTGAGAATTTCTTAAAATGCTGCCGCAGCAAACAACCAAAGCGCGTTTGGAGCATTATAACCATCGGTGGTTCACGTTAGACTGTTTGTCATGAAATTCAACGGCCTTAAATTCCGCATCCATAAGGTAACTTTGAAGGCACAAGTCCTAAAATATTAAAACCTATTTCTTCAAGGGAATATAAGCATCTCATGTGTAAGTTAAGTCCACGAATAGCAATCGGAACTCTATGCGCAGAGATGTTTGACCGGTGCAAATAATAGAGAGAGTCGTAAGCAATTCCTCGTTAGAAAAGGGCAAATGAAACTATGGGAATACAGTGTATATCGAGAATGAAAGTGGAAAAGGCCCCAGAAATAGAGACCTTAGAGGAAAGTGTGAAAAAATGAAAGTTTAATTGTCAACAAGTTCTTGAGAGAATTGTTAAGATAACTCTGCAATTCATTACCGCGTATCTTTCGTTATTTGACTGAAATAGGGGAACTGTCGCCCGAATGGAAGGCAGCAAATACATTCCCAATAAATGAGGACGGGGCTCGAACTAGTGCCAACACTCATTCCCCAACCAGCCTCACTTGTACAAGCTGCTGGCATGCATGACAGAGATTCTTACGGGGAAACAGCAAACAGTGTACGTCGATGCCTCGAAGTTAACCCCTTAGCCCGTTCAAAGTGGTCCCCACAAGGCTAACGCTTAGGCCCGTTGCTCTTCCTAGCCTACAATGGCTACAACAGCCTGGGTTCCAGGCCCGTCGTGTTTGCTGACGATGTTAAAATGTGGAAAACCGTCAGATCTGACTAACACAAGCGCGCACCTTAAGGGAGTCTCAAGCGACGCAGCGACTGGTCTGCTACTTGACTCTTAAAGTTTACCGTTGGTAGGTGTGGGTCATAAGAATCCGTAGCAGAAGGGGCTATGAGAATGATGATCTTTCCCGAATCTTTATTTATTGGCTGCGTCTTTCAAACGTTGGGAGCAGAAGGACCTCGACGTCCTAATAACTTACACGCTTAAACCATCGTCACAGGGTTTTAAGGCATCTAGACGTGCGACATAGGTATTATTTGTCCCAAGACGAGGATTTGTTTAGAATGATAAGGCACTGTTTGGAAAAACCTACGGCAATTCGTTGCATATCACTTCGAACATCCTGCCCAAGCTTAACGTTCGTGGTTTAAGATGGACTATTTGCTGCCCGAAAGGACTAGTGCGAGGACTGCGAAATGGTCAAAACATTTGCATCTGTCTTACGCGACCATACTGGCTGAACTAAATCTGTTTCCTCTCAATTCCAGGCAGCTGCTCAGCGATATCATTCAAGCTTTCCGGATGGCTGGAAGCTGAGCGTGTGTCCTAGAATTTGGGGATATTTTTTTCAATTGACTTGGACGGACTGTTTGCGTGGTCATCAGCTTAAACTACATGGAAGTTGACCACTACGGGCGTCCGACGGAATGGCTTCTCTCAGAGGGTCGTCTGAGCATGGAAACGACTTATTGACGCGGTGGTTCTTTCCGAACCTGTCGAAGCTTTTGAATGCAAATTAGACATACATTTGCTATTCCACACATAATGACGATTGTGTCATAGGCGATAACTTTAAAGTTTTCAAAACTGCTGCTGTAAAATGTGATTTTATTTTCCTCATTGTGTATGAAAAGGGAGCTCAATAACGAAAACATTTTTCTTTAACAAAACGACTTATGCTCATGGGATTCAGAACTGCCATACCAAGAAACATACCTTATATCGCGTTATTGTTCTTTCATGCTTGGATTACAATCCTCTCTATTTGTTTCATCTTCTCATTTGTCACAAAAAGTGTTAGAAAGGTCCGTCGCCAAGCAGCTTAGCTTGACCTTTCTATTCGTATTTTAAAACCAGAGTAAAATAAGGATACGCCTCAACCTCCAACGATTATATAAACGCTGCATACACGGATCGTGCGTAATGTACAAGCCATTTTGTTGGGCAGAGATAATAAATTAAGATTTGCCTTCCCAAAGTAGTCCTACGCGCAATCGTCTATAACACCGCTGAAATGTACCCGGACCACAAATGACAACACATTTCCTGCTGGTATCTATTTCAACCTCAGGGTTGTGGGGGTGTCAGCGGTGGGTTCACGTGATGGTCGTGGTGGTCGCTCACTTGCTTGCAGGTGAGACTAGGCCTAACGTCCACTTGCTGGCACTCAACTCTCACATGTGGCTCCACGTAGCTAGGCTCTGCTCAGCGGCCACACCCCGGGCAACCGCCTCGACCGGCGGGCTAAACCAGGTGAGGGTATCCGTGGGCCTATTCGGCCACATGCGCATCCACGAGAGCGGCACTGACCGCACTCCCGACACACCTACCACATCCAACACATCCACCGTGCACACCCCCACCCTCGTTCCATCCGTCCGCGCCACCACCACCACCACCACCACCACCACCACCGCCTCCTCTGTAGCTGGCACTGACACCGCCGACTTCTCATGCCCACACTGTCCACGCACATTCACCTCACGCATCGGCCTGGTCGGTCACTTGCGAATCCATCGCACAGAGACTGGCGAACCAGTGCCTGGAACACCCACCTATACCCACCAAGCTCGTCTCAACTGCCCACACTGTCCTCAGACCTTCAGGCATCGCATGGGCCTATTTGGCCACATGCGCATCCACGACGACCTGCGGTAGACAACCGCCGGCTACACCACACATTCACACACTCCCTACCTCCTATCACCCCATCAGACATCAACACTCTCCCACCGCATGCACCCAACTGCCACCTTCCACGGAAGTGGGAAGTGTACATCTCGACTCGGTTCCCATGCGCCTTCGGCTGCACGGGTGACTTGAGTCCGAGGCTATCCAGACACGTCAAGCGTCGTTGATAGGAAGGTTGCTGATTGAGATCCGCACTCGGTCCACGCAGTTCGTCGCGTAGTGTGTGTGTTGTGTGGAGTGGCGGACTGGTGGGCTGGGGACGGGCTGAAACAGCACCTTCACGGCACTCTCACGCAAGTGAG